ATTTTTATAATGGGTATAGGATGAGACCTGGGTGTCTCATTCCATGTGTTAAATGTTCCTGGGAGTAAAGTTTGAGAACCGCTGGCTTGAAACACGCCAGCTCCTTCCCGTCTTAGGCCCTGAAACATGCTGTTCCTGTACCCGGAGTTCTTCCCCCATGTTTTCTTGGCTGACTTTGGCTCTTCCCTCAGAAACCAGCTTCAGAATCCTTTCTTTAGCAGACTTCCCTGAATGTTCTTCAACAGCACTTAATCTCAGCTGCAACGAAATAATCAATTGTATAACTGTGTCTTTTTAATGTCTTTCCCCCATGCTTCATAATATTCAAAGTAAAGGACAGCCCTTCTCTGAGAACTATTAATAGATGCTGCAATGGAAATGAAACAAGACTGTCAGACTCTCGTTAAAGTAAGAAGTCTAGCAGAATCTTGGACTTTTAATTTTTTCCCCCCATGATAAATGTGGGAGAAAGACAATGTAACCTGCTGCTGTGGTTTGAAGATTTGTCCCCTTCAAAACTCATGTTGAAACAGCCTGGGCAACAGAGTGATACCCTGTCTCAAAAAATAGATAAATAGGCTGAGCCCAGTGGCTCACGCCTGTAATCCCAGCACCTTGGGAGGCTGAGGCGGGCGGATCACCTGAGGTCAAGAGTTCGAGACCAACCTGACCAATAAGGAGAAACCCTGTCTCTACTAAAAATACAAAAAATGGCCAGGCATGGTAGTACAGGCCTGTAATCCCAGCTACTTGGGAGGCGGAGGCAGTAGAATTGCTTGAACCCAGGAGGCGGAGGTTTTGGTGAGCCGAGATCTCAACATTGCACTCCAGCCTGGGCAACAAGAGTGAGACTCTGTATTAAAAATAAATAAATAAAAATACATTTTAAAATAGATAAATAAACTCATGTTGAATCTGAATTCCCAATGTGGCAATATTGAGAAGTGAGGCCTTTAAGAGGTGATTGGGTCATGAGGACTCTTTCCTTACAAATGAACTAATTCATTCATGAATTAATGAGTTAATGAGTTAATGAATTACCCTGGGAGTGAGACCGGTGGCTTTATCAGAAGAGGAAGAGGGACCTGAGTAGTCCGCTCAGCCCCTTTGCCCTGTAATACCCTGTGCCACCTCGGGACCCTCCAGAGAGTCCCAACAGCAAGAAAGCCCTCAGCAGACAGTGACCCCTCCATCTTGGACTTCCCAGCCTCCATAACGACAAGAAGCCAATTCCTTTTCTTTCTAAGTTATCCAGTTTCAAGTGTTCTGTTCTAAGCAACAGAATACAGACTAAGACACACACACCAATGCATAGCTTCTGATTTAACAAATTGTTTTTACAAGCATTTATTCTGCTTAGAAATTCAGACGTCAGTCATAAGACTGTTACTAGGGCAATAAAATATTAAGTAAGACCACCAAATAGCACCAAGATTTCTCCTGCAAAATAATGATTGCAATACTGGCAATAATTTCTAATGTCTTTGGACTCCTACAGGTTATTTTGTGCAAATTATACTTCAAGGGACAGATTTATGGAACCAGAGAATGGAACACTGGTCGCTGTAATAAATATCCATAGATCTCCATACTACACAAGATGTAAAACACATTTAGCGTCTTTTGAATATTCTCAGTTTATGACCTTATCAAACCACATTCTGTTTTGTTTTTTGGTTTTTGGTTTTTTTTTAGACAGGGTCTCACCCAGGCTGGAGTGCAGTGGTGTGATCTCAGCTCACCGCAATCTCTGCCTCCCGGGTTCAAGTGATTCTCCTGCCCCAGCCCCGCCAAGTACCTGGAATTACAGGCTCGTAATTCCACCTGGCTAATTTTTGTACTTTTAGTAGAGATGGATTTTCGCCACGTTGGCCAGGCTGGTCTCAAACTCCTGACCTCAAGTTATCCACCTGCCTCAGCCTCCCAAAGTGCTGGGTATAACAAAAGACACCCTTCTCACCAAGGGTTTTTGGAGTTTCCAGAGTGATGGGGTGAGAAGGGAGTCTTTGGAACCAGAGCTGAAGACCAAACACGTATTTCTTACTATATCACAATATCGCAGGAGGTAAAAGGGAGATGGGCTCGAAGCAGATCCTCCACACCCCCGAATCCTCTTATGTGCGGGGAGGATCAGAAGGGTCCTGCCAAGACTCAGCCCAGCTGCGGTTCAAGCCTCTAATTGCGTGGATGGGTAAGTACCAGATTTCCAGAGTGCCAGCGCAGGGCTGCCCCCTTGTGGTGGCACTAACGTTGCACAGCTATTTAAGCAGTGGACACACTATCTTCAGAGGGGTCCAGTTCAGACTGAACATCTTACTTCCATATTTTCCCCAAGAGAGAAGAAAAATCATTAAACTTTTTTTTGATATGGAGTTTTGCTCTTGTTGCCCAGGCTGGAGCCCAGTGCTGCGATCGCGGCTCACTGCAACGTCCACCTCCAAGGTCGAAGCTGTTCTCCTGCCTCAGTCTACCGAGTAGCTGGGATTACAGGCATGCACCACCACACCAGGCTAATTTTTGCATTCTTAGTAAAGACGGGATTTCACTATATCGGCCAGGCTGGTCTCAAACTCCTGACCTTGTGATCCACCCACCTTGGCATCCCAAAGTGCTAAGATTACAGGCGTGAGCCACAGTGCCCAGTATTACACATTTTTTATTCCTTTTTCTTTATTCTTTTTCATTTGATGTTCAGAAAACCCACCTCCTGCACAAATTATTTAATACTGAATGCATGCTGAGGGAGGTTAGGCATAAAAAAGGATGTTTAAGACTTTTCCAGAAAACTTCTGGTAGACTCTACTCTCCATGAGGGCCAGGACCATATCTGTTTAAGTCTCCTCTCTACTGGCCAGGTGCAGTGGCTCACGCCTGTAATCCCAGCACTTTGGGAGGCCGAGGCGGGGGGGATCACCTGAGGTCAGGAGTTCGAGACCAGCCTGGCAAACATGGTGAAACCCTGTCTCTACTAAAGATACAAAATATTAGCTGAGTGTGGTGGCACGCACCTATAGTTCCAAATACTCGGGAAGCTGGGGCAGGAGAATTGCTTAAATCTGGGAGGTGCAGGTTGCAATGAGCCGAGATTGCACCACTGTACTCCAGCCTGGGAGACAGAGCAAGACTCTATCTCAAAAATAAAAACAGGATTGAGTGCAGTGGCTCACGCCTGTAATCCCAGCACTTTGGGAGGCCGAGGCAGGCGGATCACTTGAGGTTAGGAGTTGGAGACCTGCCTGGCCAACATAACGTAACCCCATTTCTAATAAAAATACAAAAAATTAGCCAGGCATGGTGGCAGATGCCTGTAACCCCAGCTACTTGGGAGGCTGAGATGGAGAATCCTTGAACCTGGGAGGCAGAGATTGCAGTGAGCTAAGATCACGCTATTGCACACCAGCCTGGGCAACAAGAGAGAAACTCCATCTCAAAAAAAAAAAGAGGAGGGGTTGGGGTCAGAGGAGTTAAAGCCTCTGATCTAAGATTTCCTAATGTTTCTTCATGTGTTGGGGACAAGTTGCCTCATTTATTTCTCTCGAGGACTGACAAGGTAGATATTTTGGGATTTCCCTTTCTCAGATGAAAACTCAGAAGGGTCTGCACACTGCTCCAGTTTGCCCAGCATGGCGCAGCTGGGCTGTCCAAGCACTAGAAGTCAGTCTCTTCTCCATAAAGTGGGAACAGGGGAAGGAGAAGCTGAAAAACAACAAAAGTAGAAGAATGTGTCTGCTCTGCCAAAATTAGGGCGCAAGTCAAGAAAGGAGGAAGGAGACTGCGTGGGTGGCTCACACCTATGATCCCCACACTTGAGGAGGCGGAGGCAGGAGGATCACCTGACCTCCGGAGTTGGAAATCAGCCTGGGCAACATAGAGAGACCTTGTTTCTACAAAAAAAATGTAAAAACAAATCAGCCAGGTATGGTGGCCTGCACCTGTGGTTCTTGCTACTTGGAAGGCTGAGGTGGGGAGATCACTTAAGCTGGGAGATCGAAGCGGCAGTGAGCCTTGATCATGCCACTGGAGTCTAGCCTGGGCAAGAGAGTAAGGCTTATCTCACAAAAAGAAAAGACAAGAAGAGAAAGGGAGGGAGGGGTGCGGTGGCTCATGCCTATAATCCCAGAACTTTGGGAGGCCAAGGCAGGTGGCTCACTTGAGGTCAGGAGTTCAAGACCACCCTGGTCAACATGGCAAAACCCCACCTCTACTAAAAATACGAAACTTAGCTGGGCATGGTGGCACACACCTGTAATCCCAGCTACTCAGGAGGCTGAAGCATGAGAATCAGTTGAACCCAGGAGGCAGAGGTTGCAGTGAGCCAAGATTGAACTGCTGCACTCCAGCCTGGGTGACGGAGTGAGACTTTCTCTCAAAAAAAAAAAAAAAAAAAAAAAAAACTCTGCTTGATTATGCTTGATTTAAAAAAGGTGAGACCTTCCTTTCAGCACTGAGTCTGGTAGAAATTGGTGTTATAGGATAGCTGACATTTACTGAGAATTTACTGCAAGCCAGTTACTGTTTTAAGTGTTTGATGTGTATTACCCACTGAATCCTACAACAGTTCTATGAAGTAGGTTTTATCAGTGCGTCCATGTTACCGTCAAGGCAAGAGAGAGTTGGGGAAGGGCACTTTCCGAATGCTCCACTGAGTTGATGGCAGCGCTGGGATTCGAACCCCAGTCTCCTGGCTCCGACGCCTTAACCACTGATCCTGTCTTTCACTCAGCTGCTCCTTGGGAAAGGCCCGGAAAGAAGCCACAGCGCAGGGCAATGCGGGGCGGGGGCGGGGAGGCGGTGGTTGAAGGATGGTTCCGACGGGCTCAGCCAGCAGGGCCGCGCGGCTGCGGGAAAGTGCGGGTCCGTCCCCCGACGGATGAAATGAGCGCTCACACACAGGTATGCAGTGTAAGAGCAGCTAGGGGACTGCCCCGCCCGGAAAAGCAGGAGCCGCTTGCTTTTATTGAGTGCCGGCGCAATGCCGAAAGCCTGGAGCAAACACGGTCTGCGAATAATTAACATTTATTGTTTCCCTTTCAGGGACTTCACAGGCGGGGATGGGAGGGGGGGTGGGAAAGGGCAGTTTCTGGACACGTTGAAACGCACGAGGCTGATGGAGATAACTTCCCCTTCGCTCACTGGCACAGGCTCCGGGCCCTCTGCCTCAGGGTGAGAACAGCTGCCTTCCCCCCTTTCCCTAGTTTCTCCCCCGACGCTGACCCATCTCCCACAGGAAAGGACAGTGCAGCCCAGGGTCCCAGCTTCTCTGCCACTCAGGTTGGAAGTCTTCTGGGGTTGCAGTGCTCCTGGGGTTCAGGGGCGGACGCCAGCAGGAGCGTGGTTCTGGCTGCGACAGTCAAAAGCGACCAGCACGCCCAGGGAGATGAGGACCAGACCGGCCAGCCCCAGGCGGACCAGGTTCTCCCTCGTGTAGTCGGAGGAGCTGGAGTCTGCGGGCCGAGCCGGGGGAGAGGGGCTGTCAGCGCTTGCACCCAGAAGTCTGGGCCCTGAACTCCAGGTTTCCTGTCCCTGGGGTGGACTTAGGGTCCTCACTCCCCAGTCTGAAAGTTGAGGGGGAGTTGATGGAGGCTTCAACTCGTGGGTCTGAGGGAGGAGACGCTGGGAGTCTGGACCCCTGGGTCCGAGGGAAGAGGGGCTGGGGGCCTGGACTCCTGGGTCCGAGGGAGGAGGGGCTGGGGGCCTGGACTCCTGGGTCAGAGAGAAGAGAGCTGGGGGTCTGGACTCCCGGGTCCGAGGGAGGAGGGGCTGGGGGCCTGGACTCCCGGGTCCGAGGGAGGAGGGGCTGGGGGCCTGGACTCCCGGGTCCGAGGGAGGAGGGGCTGGGGGCCTGGACTCCCGGGTCCGAGGGAGGAGGGGCTGGGGCCTGGACTCCCGGGTCCGAGGGAGGAGGACTCGGGCCTAGACTCCCGGGTCTGAGGGAGGAGGACTGCGGCCTGCATTTCTGGGTCCGAGGGAGGCGGCGGGCGCAGGGCCCTCACCTGCGGCGCGGACGGTCAGCACC